ATTAGCTTACTTTTCTCTGATCTTTATGGATCCTTTCATTTCCTTTTATTCCCACCTTTATAGTGCAGGCAGCCATATTATTCTTTGTGCTGAGCAGTGGAGCTTTGCAATTTATTGGGAGACCAACCCTCCTTCTCCCATCATCAACATGTCTTTTTTTCTCCCCAGATTGTACTCTGGCGTTCATTGATATTCTGATGGATGCAACTAGTCACATATATATTTTAGACACCATCTTTATTTCATTTCAGTGAGCACTTTCCTTTTCACAAAAAAATACACGCTCACACATCACAGCTCAGCGATCTTTTTCTTTGTTGTTGTTGGCATTGCTCAGATATTTTATGTTTACTGCACAGTATAAAACATCAGAAGAGGTGCTACATATGCTTTGACAGAACAGTGTAAATGTGCGAGATGAAAAATGACTATCAAACATAGATTCTAAAATTTTTAAATTCAGTTCAAGTCTTTTTAAGTTGTTTTTTTTTTTTTAATGCTAAGTCACATTGACAAGGCATCACAAATGGCAGAACTGAATGACACAAGAGCCACTTACACGGTTACGAAATATGAAACTTTGTTTTTTTACATTTTGTCATCAAGTGCTCTGTATAAGACAAACAGTCATTTCCCTCACTAGTCAAAAAAAACGAAGAAAAAAAAACATTTCAGTTAGTTACCTCCTGGTGTACACACAAGAATAGAAAAATATATAGCTCGAGTCGTTCATAGTCATCTTAATTCTGGCGTTGGGGGAGGGGCGCTTACTGTCCTCAAAGATGCTAAAACTTCCCCAAAAAACAGGAAACTTGTTAAAAAAACAACAACAAAAAAACAACATTTTCCTTGTTACAAAGTGCAAGCTGCCCTGTAAAGGCTCATTTTAAGATAAAAAAAAAAATCACCATCCCATGTTTGCGTGCACATGGATGACAAATGTCCATGTTGTACATTGTCATGAAGTGAATGACTGGTATTGGTAGAACTCTGATAACATCACACATTGGTGACCTCGATGCTGGTGTAACCACGGATGGGGCTTCCTTCTGCCCTGGGCGGAGTGTGATCTCGAACCTCTCTAGGCAGGGAGCCATAGCTGCTATGGCAACTCAAGTCCCGCCCATTGCGAGCTTTGGGACTAAATCCTGCTGGAGGCTAGAACAGAAACAATGTATCCATTACTACAAATGACAAACAATGTATAAAGATGAATGCAGCTTCTGGGTCTGAAAAGTGAAATTGGGGTGTAACTTGATATAGCATGATGCCTGTTTTGCACATTTTTGCCCGATTTAGAGTCAATTAGCCTTAGGGCTTAGCTACTTCATGACTGACGACTTGCTGCAATAGTTGCAAAGCAGTGTCTGGGGTTTCTCATTCAGATCCACACCTTGTTGATGATGTCATGATGTCAGGGTTAAAAATAAATCCAAGACAGCAACAGCCAAAATGCTCAGGTGGAGGGCTTTTATGTACAGTCTATACTTTCTCATTAGTTGTGGTCCCCCTGATGACATATCTTATACTTACAGTTAATTTAATAGTCAATAATTGATTTGGTTAATCAATCAAACCTCTCTATCTTCCTTCTTATTTACATGTCTTGCAGGCTGCTCTAGCAACATATTCAATACCCAAGTAATGCTGCAGAGCTTCATTATCGTCACTGTGTAATTTGTCAACACTAAGCTCTTCTGCGATACAATTTGGCTAAAATTGAGGGAAGAACTTTTTCCCCACCTTCACAGCCCTCCTTCTCAGTGAGCCTTCTTCATCGGTGTGCCGGGCAGTAGAGGTGGGAGGTCTGCCCAAAGAGTTCTGACGAAGGAGGACAGGTGGTGTCCCCAGACCTAAATGCTCGTATTCCTGTTTGGCATCCACGCTGCAGAAAGCATGGGGAAAGATCAGTGTGACGGGGGAAGCCAAAATAGTAATTAAAGACAGTAGAAAACACATCCCTGTGAATTTTCCTGTCACCTGGATTGGCCAATTAGTGTTTTCATCTCTTCCACAAGGTGTCGGCGAACCATGTGTTTGCTGCTGGAGATTCCTAGCACCGTTGCCATCGTGTCAGTGTTGAAAGTGGGGTCTAGCACCATGACAGCCCCATGAACGCCACTGTTTAGGAGACTCTCAGCAAACTCCTGCATAGGCAGAAAAAGGCAAGTACCGAATAGTAATCTTATTTTTTCATAACATCAGATCTAAAATTCTTGGTCGAGTCAAAGAGGATATTGATATTGATTTTTTTGTCTATATCAGTAGAAGTTCCAGCTCCCTGAGGAGTTTAACCGGACGTCATCCAGACATGTTTATCTGTACACACCCGGAGTGTGATGGGACAAAGGCTGTAATCTGGCAGGTGTTGTAATCAACTGGTAGCAGTTCAAAAGTAAATGGCAAAGACCTGCTATCACTTTGTGGAGGTATGGAGCACAGAACAAACAGTCTTTATGTGGTAGTGCGTTTATACAACACAAAACAGTATTGTTACAGCCCCAGCAGGCCTGCTATGTTTTATTGTCTGAGAGTCCTACTGTTTGCTTCCTTGAATCAGGTGCCTCCCCCTTTCTGCTGTGGGGCCGGTTAGATATGCACTCAGCTGACTCAGCTTAGCAATTATAACTGAGAGTATAAAAGCTGAGGGGAGCCACAACTAAGCACCAGTGGTTCACCTGTGTACACAGGGTTGGCTTTGATTTATTGATTGATTAAACGCTTTTCTTTGCCCACCAAAGGCTTTGCTTTTCTCTCGTTTGTATTTTGTCCTTGACAGAAACAGCACTTTACCCATCTCTTTAAAGTTTTTAGTATAATCTTGTTTTGCCTCATTCCAGAAAAGAAATGCAGTACAAATACCCAGTTAAGATACTGAAGTGGAATTTTCAGGTGTCATTACATAACTTGAATCTTTATTTTTCTCACCACTTTTTACTTTTATTCACTACATTTTTACACAAATACCTCTACTTGCTGCATCGTACATTTTCATAACAGCCTTATAGGTTCAAGACATTTGAAGGGTGTTACTATTCCACATCACTGCGCATCTTCCAGATTTAAACCAATTTGAGGCTAAATTGAGGAAACAATAACACATAAAAGGCCATTTTATTGGTCTATCCATCACTGGTGCTTATCACACACGACAAGTGGTACAAACCTATGCATCATTTATCACTTTATACTCAGAGGTTACCTAAGCACTTTTATTTCACATACAGATGGATGGATCGGGTGTGTGTGGGGTGGGGTGGTAACTTGGGGTTCAGTATCTTCCCAAGGATGCTTTGAACTGGGGAGGATCAGTCAGCCCACCATCCAATTGGTAGACAATTTATACAATTTATTTCATAGTGGTTATTTTCTCGTACACTACCACAACAGCTGATATTAGGGTTCTTTTGCCTGCCAAATCCCACTTTAACCGCTGACTATATTCATTTTCCTGTTTAGATGTGCAGGCCAACTCACCAATCTACAATGTGGGCAGCAGCATATGTTTTTTTCTCTGTTTATGTTCAACATACCAGATGTAATCTAACAAGTACGTTCCATAATATGACATGAGGTTGCGTTTCCTCTGCATAAATATAGATGGTAGATATGTGCTCGAAAGAGCTACTTTTAAACCTTAATGAACTTTTATCAGTGTATTTTTAACACAAATATCTGGAAATTAACTATCACATACCCAGGACATTCTGAGATTCAGACCCAGAACCTCTCTGATTTGTTATGGCGTAACGGTAAACTCTTTAACTTTGGTAAAACTATACTTTTGTTCGCATACAAGTTTGACCTGTTAACCTATTGGCTGACATGTGTTCAAGAATTTTAAGATGAACTTTCTCTCACCTTGAGGTCAATATCTCTGATCCATTTCATGACCCGATGCATGGTCCATACCAGAGGATCCACATTGTGGTGCTCGCACTGTATCCGGCGAGCCTGTAATGCCTGAAAACCATTTTAACAAGAACTTTTACAGATCTGATCTATTTTCACCTTTACTGTGAACATCCCAAAGTACAAAGGAGTGACAAAACTAAAAGACTGAAAATCTAGACCCTTCACCCCTACAGTTTGCATTTACTTATCCTTTTAGGTGGAAGGATCACTGCCAATCAATAAAAGGTAAACTCAAAAGTAAAATCAATGTCAAGCCCCAACACCTTACTATAACCCCTCATTGTTATTTGTTTTCCTTTAATTTGTCACCCATCAGTGTACTCACCTCCTTGTCAAAATGAAGCAACTGCAGCAGTTCGATGCCTAGCAGCAAGCTGACCTGATGGAACTTCTTGGTGATGTTTAAGTGACGTTCGAGGTCCCGACGTGTCAAAGAGTTCAGGACCCGCCCATCTATCAAGTGATTGTGAAATGCCTGGGAGTACTGAGGCAAACCCACATCGCTTAACCAGGCTTTTGCCACCCAGTGGTGGTCCATATCCGCAGCCTTGGACAGCCTACAGACAGACAGCATGAAGAGTTCCTTTACCTAAGAAATCACATTTTTATCATCACATGTGGGATTTAGCCACAAAGAGTTTGAATTGTACTGACCAGCTTATACCCCCATTAGGCTGAAGTTCCTAACAAGCACTGAATGGATTGTTGCTAAATTCATATTGTATGGTATAATAATAATAAGTTTGCCATCTCTTGATTTTTCTTCTGATTTCATCATCAGGTTAAAAACTACCATACTAAAATAAGACTGTGAACATGCTTCACCACATACCTGATAAACAGTAGCATGTTACTTTTGCTAATGTGGACACATTATGTAGCTTTAAGAACTACTGAGCTGAACTCAATTATTTTTATTCAATTCATATAGCACCAAATCACAACAGCAGTTGCCTCAAGGCGCCTTATACTGTATGATAAAGACCCTACAATAAAAGAAAGAAAACCTTAACAATCAGATGACCCCCTATGAGCCAGAACTTTGCAACACTGGGAAGGAAAAACTCCCTTTTAATAGGGAAAAATCTCCAGCAGAAGTGGGCTCAGGAAGGTGCAGCCGTCTGCCATGACCGGTTGGGGGTGAGGAGAAAAGAAGAGAGCAGACTGAGGTAGGATAAAAAACACACTGTAGAAGAGCACCAGAGATTAACTATGACTAATAATGCATTGGAGCCCATCTACATCAGCAGGGAGTGTGTGAAGAGGGTGCTCAGCTTCAAGTTCCTGTGTGTGCACATGGATGCAGACCTCCAGTGCTCCAGCTTGGAGGTTATGAAAAAGGCCCAGCAGCATCTCACTTACTGAGGAGCCTCAGGAGGACTACCCTAAAGAGGGAGCTGCTGCTAACTGTCTTCTACCGCTACTCCACTGAGAGTGCGCTGACATATTGCATCTCTGTGTGGGTCTCGAGCTGCACCATGGCACACAGGAAAGCACTACAAAGGGTCATTAACGTCACGAGAAAAATCACTGGCCGCCCTCTTCCCTCCCTGAAGGACCTCTGCAGCACATGCTGTCTCAAAAGGGCACACAAGATCTTGCGGCACTGCAATGCAAATACCTGACACCGGGCCTTGTGCAATACACAGTGCACACACTGTATATTTCATTCTGCATATATGTTACTATGTATATATTGTTATTGCTGCTTGCCTTTCATTTAGCACCAATGCAGGACAGTAGTCCAATTTTGTTGTACTATTGTAGAAAGTATAACTGTGCAATGACAATAAAATCATCTACTCAAACTGTAGCTATTATTTTAAAAAAGAAGCTGAAATTGTTCACAACTGCTGTTAACAAATCAGGTAGCTGTGCCATTATTATTGTTATTTATTCTATTATTCTATTTTACTCTTTTACTTTTGATTGTACTTTTTATCTTACAAAGCATGCTGAACAATTGTGTAATGCCACATAAATAAGCTTGCCTTGGCTTTCATCAAAAATTGACTGATCAATCAATCAATCTAGTTGGATTAGATTATTGGATAATGATAACCACATGCAGCCCTAAATATCACATATGTAAAGGAACTCACTGCAGAAAGTTTTTGAAGGGATTATTTCTTTGCTATAAAGCAGTTTCACGGAGAATTCTTCAAACTTTGCACTTGAAGGCCAGAGTGAGGGGGGAAACTGACTCGAGAAAGACATGCTGCTGCTAAATCTTTCAAATGCAATTCTTCAGTGCTTTAGGGTTACTGAACTGAATATTTCAAAACCCAGACACCTTGATCTTAAACCTGCTACTTGGCTAAACTGCCATACAGTGTAACTATTGGTTAAAACAAATAAGCTTATACTTGCCACATATGTGTTTATGATTCACACAGGAACAATTTAGACAGTCTTCAGTTTAGCTGACCTGCATGCCTTTCATGCCCTTAGGAAGCTTTCAAGAGCTGTAACAGCCTTGGGACTCTTGCATTTGTTTAAACTTCATGTGTGGTAAAAAGCCAGAAACGAGATCCTTCATGCATTAGGTAAATGCATGTACAATAAATCACCGACAGGTGGCCCCCATACGCCATCAAGTAACAGGCAGTTTACAATAAGGACCACTGTGGCCCTTCCTTACCCTCTGCCGTTCTCAACATCTCTGTAATCTTCAATGGCCAGGCGGAGTTTCCGACGATGCATCAAATTGCTGACACCTAGACCCAGCTCCAGGTCTTCATCCGTTAACCCCAGTAAAACCTGCAAAAAAAAGCAAAGAAACAACACTTCACAGGAGGTTAAGCCATTCAGGCCGAGAGTGCTATAAAGTAAACAACATGGAAGCATGTAGAAACCTGCAGGTGTTGCCATACCTTGCCGCTTTTGACGTTTTCTGAGCAGGTGCGGATGTACATGGGCATCGCCATGACAACCTCCAGCCAGGCCTGCACGGTGCCTGCCCTCCACAGAGACATGGGCGTTGTCCTGGCCAGCTCCACCTGCTGCAGACGGTCGAGCTGGTCCTCTGACCCGTCTGACAGGCTGAGGCGAGTGGGGCTGGAGAGGCTATCCGAGTCTGGGTGGGTGGGTAGACAAATGGGTGATGCGGTTGTGCGTGAAAGCAGAGGTGAGCATTGTGAGCAATGAAAAATAAAATAAAAACAACAACAACAACGTTAATGTGCTGCAACAACAACAATATATACATATAGTTTCATATCAAATCAGCCCATTTAAGGGGAAGAGGGAACAAACAAGCTTTTAACGACATCCTAAGCTTTTGGCTGCATGACAGCAAGCCAAGCGTTTGCCAGTAATGCTGTAAACAAAGTTGCAGCTTTTATAAACAAGCTCCTCACTTAAGAAGTCCATTAAACCAGCAGCTGTTTGAGCTGTTGAATTAACATGACTCATCTGTCTAAATTAGCCCGCAGCTAACAGCTCTGTGGAAATATTAAAACATGCAATTAGGAGATGCATGAGAAATGTCGATGCATTAAAAGCACGTCTCTCTCACAATGTTATAATCGACTGTGAGTAAATCCTGACACTTTGAGCACTGCCTGAATAATTCCCCGCGGTGTTTCAATGTTACCACGCTAAACTGAGCCAAATATTTTGCCTTTTTTTAAAAAAAAAAAAATTTGTTAAATTTAAGTTCTCAGTATTTCACAAGTGGTGGAGTCACAAACGAAAAGAAATATTGGCCGAGAACATGTTTTGTTTCATTGTAAAAATGTGAAAGCCATTTAACTAACCCCCGACCAGCGGGTGGCAACCTGGTATCAGGTTTGGACTCAGATGTTGGTACAGCATCATGAAATGCTCATCAAGAACTTACTGCAGCACTTACTGTGTTTTTCTCCCTTTTTAAAATCTTGTGATACAAATGAAATACTTCAAAGTATCCTGTCTTATTCCATAGTTTCTGAAAACCTCAACATTACCCTCAGCACTCAGAATACAGCCATACTTACAGGCTTACCCAGTGAGTGAATGAATGAACTTCAACCAAAACTCCTGTGACCCTAATAAGCCTTGCACAGAAGCATCCACCTGACAGCTCCGTGGTAACATGACTGTTCTCCTTGATGGTCACTCCAATCATCACATCCATGGTTGCTTTTTTATGTTTGTTTGTTTTTTAAAAGGAAAAGAAAGTTCAAGATTCTTTTTACAAACTACACAAAAACGGGTTCTTTGTTCCCTCCACCTAAGTGTCACTTCTAGCAAATAACATGGAAACCCTACTTTTTGGCAGCCTTTACTATGCCCATTGTGTGTTTACTCAAAGGAGATTCACGACTGGATGGTTCAGGGTCTGAGTAAACTGATTTTTATTAAACCCGCCTTCGGTAATTCATCTCAACCTGGATGCTTTTATGTGCTCTCCGAAGAGAGATGCATGAAGCGACCGTACACTTCTAAGTGCCCTTCTGAGAGCAATTCATATTAAGTTGAATAGATCTGCTCTTTTGGTCAAAGATGCATGCTGGTCTGCGTACAAGGTCTGTTTTTCCTTCCGAACAGAGTCCTAATAAAGGAAATATCAGTGAAAGCAGAGCTAGCTACGGTGTGGTATTTATGTAAAGAGTTTTGTGTCCTTTATGAGAGGAGGTAAGTTTTATATGTTTTATAAAAACCAAAGTGAATTGTTTGCTTTTCCTTTAACTACACTTCAGACGAGACACTGAGCCTTAAGTGTGCTCTTCGGTAGCTCATTTAATAGACCTTATTGCTATAATATAGCAGCATTTCTGATACCATGACTGGGAAAAACAAATGGATTACAGCTGAATGGATGACATCACCCATGGTGGCTCTTCGCTGCTTCGAGGGAGGATAAATAGAGTAGATAAACTACAAGGCCCCTTTAAGTAACAGTTTGGCATTTTGATTAATAAGATTATTTGCTATCTTGAGAGGCAGATGAGGAAATCAATGCTCATGTCTGAATGATAAATATGGAGGTACATACAGTCTGTTTCCTGTCTTCCAGTTAATCAAGGAGTAGCTTCAGCTTGAATTCATTAAAAGAATATTAAAGAAGTCATTTAATGTTTGGTAAATATGCTTATGCTTTACTGTCGTGCATCAGACGAGAAGGCTTATAAATAAGCTTGTATGGTAAATCCATAAAGTCACAGCCAGTCTTCTTATAGTCCATGCAAAGCTATGATGAGCACCCCTGCTTGTAGATTTATGTTAAGCATTTTAGCAGTGAATTTCCCCCAAACTATACTTCAGCACAAAATTAAAAGCAGCCAGTGTTTCTGAGCCAGTGACGCTGAGTATGGAGCTTTACTGTTGGAGTATACAGGAAATAAAAGAAAAAAGCCCTCAAATGCATTTTAGTGTATCTGTTAGCACTCAACTGTTTCCAAATCCCTGTCATTAGAGCTAAATTCAACTTGAAGAAGTGCTTAACTCCAAAGGTGTTTTTTTTGTGATGTTAGGAATTAAAAGACATCTGCAAACACAGTTTGCAACCCAGCACGACTCATTTTTAAAGCCACAGGAACTGGTGCACCTCGGTCCCATTGAGTCTGACTGATCGCTTCTTGGGTCGCCTCACTGTGTCGACAGTCTGATGGAGGTCAGACAAGAGGGGTCAGTGTTAGAGGTCAGGAGTCATATCAGAGCAAAACATTATTGATGCCATGTGCTGACACATATGAGATCAGATTCAACAATATGACATGGCCACATCTCCTCTGCACCAATGTTTTGTTTTTCTCTAATTATTGATTCTAATATAATACAAGAGGAAAATTTCATTTTGGCTTAGTGAGGAGTTGAAATTGGAAAAGAGAGGAAAGGAGGCCATTGGGAAGCTTTTGGGATGCAGTCCTCTCACAGATGGGAGTTGCAGGGCTGAGGGAAACTAAGGCACATGTTAAAAATGGTAAGTCCCCTCCAGCATAACAGGACAAATCTGGATTAGAGCCATATCACAACAAATGAACACGCACACACACACGAACATTAATGAAGGGAAAGAGAGGAGAGCCACGTGGAAATTAAGCATTACTTATTTTATTTTAAAATAATCTTATTTTTTCTCATTTAGTTCTTTAGAGCGTAACTTTGTTGCCATGCCTTTAAAAGTTTGCTACGATCCACTTCTAAACATCTCAGGGCTTCAGAATAGAAGTCCTCCACCGAGGCCTACATCTTTGACTTTAAATAAAACTCTTTAATAATAATAATAATATTCATTTCATTTCTGCAATGTTATCTCATTTACAAAAAGTAAAATATACGTGGGAAATTAAAAAAAAAAACAAAAAAAACAAAAACAGAGCACGGATCAAAAGATAAAATTACATAATGTTTTTTTTCTCTTGATATGTTGTTTCCCCATCAGCAGAGGATCATAAAAATTAGCTGAATGAAACAAAAAAGATAAAATAGCATAGATTTTATACATTTAACTGACTGTTCAGTGAATTTTTTCAACATGAGACGTTGTTCCTGTACATACAATTTGATTCATAGTGACTCATCTCTGAATTATCTTACTGATTTACCTGCAAATTCAATAACTGTGAACTCAAATGTAAAGGACGATCTCCTTACTGGATACGTGGACACGGCACGGTAACCTGGCACTCTAGTGTCTCAGGCGAGGCCAACAAATACCCAGTGTTAGTTTAATATCAGGGAGAGAAAAGATTTCCTGGGGCGTGGCAGTGCAGACTCCGACTCGATCCAATGAAAGATCAGAAGTAACGTGATGTCTGTGGAAATTCTTTTGCTCGGATTAATGCCATTAACCTTTAGTCCAAAGTTAATTGCTTTATTTTTTCCTTTTCCCAGCTATGGCTTGAACTCTACATTGGAATTTTTGCTGAGGTCATGGGGTCATGGGAGAAGGTACGCCTTTGCTTGATTGGGATGCTTAAATCCTGATTTTTAACCTTCAATTGTAGTTCACGTAATTTCTGCACCTCTTAATTGAGGTTCTGCTCATCTCTTAAGTCGCCCTTAATTCCAGAGGTCTAGAAATATTTTGACTGTCAGTTGAACACCTGCAACGCAAGAATATTTGGTGTTTATGCTATGTATTTTTTGTGATGATAGCTTTCTTATTTTAACGTTTCCCAGAATAATCCTGCTCCCAGTATTCATACACCAATGAATACAAGCAGCTTAGATCCTAAAAAACAAAGAGAGATAAAAAGGCACAAAGCCTTGCAAATAGTGTGGAATAATATTTTAAAATTCAAAGTGTAATGTTCAGTTTTCTTTCTTTGCTGACCTTTGATATTTCAAATGTAATTTCGCATAAAAAGCCCTGCAGGTGCAAATTAAAACGAAACTGTGCGCAGTTCAGGATGTTAAGATCTTAAGCATTCAGCTGAGCGCTCCTTGAACAGCAAAGGTTCAAGTTTACAAATCTTATCAATTAATTTGAAATGGGGGCAAAATCATGAATGAACATGAAATCAGTAACTAACCTCTCTTTTAAATTAAAAAGAAAAGCAAACAGTTTATCACCTCTTCGGAAACATAACCAGGGAGAGATTTTTCTTTGTAGTGGCGTAACCAGGCATGCATGATTTAGGGACCGGGGCTACGTGCATGCATGTCACACATGTACCTTCTATCTGAGGAGATAGAAAACACATTTCTCACATTTCCTGTTTGGCTTCAAAATGCAGGGGAACAAACTGTTCTGCATAGAAAGTTAATTCCTCTCATAGCAGCTTCTTTGAAGTCTCTCTAAGTAAACATCAAGGATTGCCTCTGCACAGACTTTTTTTTTTTTTTTCGGCGGTTGAGGGATATGCACCCGACAACCGACCCAGCGGTGAATTTCAGGAGTCTGCATGCCGCCTACAGGAAACTGTTCTCATCATGGCAGTGTGGAAGAAGGGGATGGACCAGGCAGGACAATAAACAGGGAGGAGATAAAGTTAAGAGGCAGTGGGAGGGAGGGGGGAGGGACGGCGGGGAGTACGTGTCAAAAATAACAAAAAGGCATTCAGGACAAGGAGACATTTACACGCACAGAGTGCACATCAACTGTTATTTACAAGTACAGCAGTCCTTCAAGTTTCCAGTTGAGTGAAAACAATAAAAAAAAAAAGTAAAAATGTAGAGAACAATTCAAAGATCAGATAACACAGCTGTTTTGGAGGGCAGATACAACATGACATGTCCACACTGCTGCTGTATTACACTCTCCACGCTATTTACAGGGCTGTACATATACATACATACATACAGGTGCAATTTGCTCTTTAGGTTTACACTTCAGCGAAGCAAGACGCGCCTCCGGCTCCTGACATGGCCGTTGACCATGGGTGGCACAAGCACGCGCACACTCTCGCTCCCATACAAACCGAAGCATGCGTGCATGTGAGACTACATAAAAGGTACACACATTATTTTATCTGTACACGCTTTCGTCACACACACACACACACACAGACGCGCACGCAAACACGCACATTCTCTCACGCATGCGCTCGGGCAATACAACGTTGTCCTCTGATAACTGCCAAAAAAAGGCTCTCCAGGTGGTTCACTCGGACGTGTGTGCTTTACCAGTCTGCATCCTCCTCTATGTAATAATCAGGTGTTGAAGTACCATCAAACAAACCGGGGTCGAGGGACTTGCGTTGCTTTCCTCGGGCGAAGACGCGCGACAGAGACCCCAGCCCCATCTTTTCTTTCTTCTTCTTACGCTTCGCCTCCTCCAGATCTTCTAGGGACTGAAAGAAGAAAGAGAAGGAGAGAGAGAGGGAGCGAGAAGGAGGAGATGAAGAGATGGGAGAAAGATGAGAGACCAGAGAAGTCGGTGAAGTAAGGGTGCAGAGTGAGCGATAAAGACCACAAGATAAAGATCACAACACACAGTGACACTTGACATGGTGCCAAGGCATGCACTTATTCAAACAACCACAGCTGGTTTTCACATAAATTCAAGTCACTGCTGCGAGTGAGTGCACAACAGACTGCGTGGTGGGGGGGGGGGAGGACGACATGGATTCAGCCAGAACGATGGTGGAAGGAAACAACAGCAGCCGGGCAGCAAAGGGCAAGTCAACAGTTACTACAGTGTGGCGACTACTTGGGAGGGTGCGGTGGTGGGCAGCTCTTACATTGCAGAGGGAGTGAGTCCGATGGCGCGGCGAGTTGATGTCGCTGGGTGTGGACGACCGGTCTCCCTCCAGCGCAGAGGCGTCGGAGATGATGGAGGGCTGGCGCGAGTGGCACGGGCTCACCCGCACGGCAGCCACTAAACGGGGCGAGAGGGAAAAGAGAAGAGGCTTGTTTCTTTCTTGGGTGTTTGGGTGTACCAGAAGTAGAGAACAGGGACAAAAAAAAAATCTGTTTTCTTTAAAATAACGCCACGATGCCTTTAAATAAAAATGTCTTTTTGAAAAAGAAAAAAGAAAAAAGAAAGTCTGTAACCAAAAAGCCTGAAATTATTTGCAATCAGCTGCAGTTGCTAAGCAACAGTGAAAACAGCTTCACAGAGGTTTGAGAAAGTGTGTGTGCGTGCAGCGGTGAGACTGATACATACAGTGCAACCAATTGCATAGCAATTTAGGGTTCGTGACTGTTCACACATTTTTCCTGTTTTTCTTTTTTTATTTGGGGGAGGGGAATGTTTGCTTCTGTCCCCAATTAGTCAGCAACCTATGTGAACCCTATAACTGCCCTTTAAAAGCAACCTCTGAAAGGACTGAGATGGACTCCAACTCTGGTGGCTATGAGGCTAATTTGTCCAGAGCTTTCTATTTTAGGGTAGCAGGAGGTGACACTGCTACACTTCCCTTCTTTTCATTGCTTTTTTCTTGCTTTTAAATTTAGCAGAGCCTCTCAAACTGATGGCTCACGTTTCTTCTACAACTCCCATAATGATAGAACTTCTGTATTACAACTCCCCCCCCCCCAAAAAAACTTGCCTATTCTTTGTTACATGCTATTTGGCCTACATATTTTGCTTAGATAACGCATATCATTGCAACCCTTCGTGCAGACATCTGCACTGAAACACATGAGGATGAGCACTGAGTGCCAGCTGAATTTACCAGACCATCTCGTTTTGCAGAAGGGTTTTCGGCACTGTGCTGGCCGCTTTGCTAAAAACACACCACTGTTTTCTAGCGGTGACACAATTCAAAGTGAGTGAGCCAAACAAGAAAAGACATTTGCTTTGAATTTTTAAAAATGTGGTTCTGCAATGCGTCTCAGCCATGAACGTCTCCGCGCAGAGCGGGAGCTGTGACAGGAGAGGCTGTTTCTTCTCTATCTCGTGAGGTGTGTGTAACTCAAATCAAAAGGATACTGCGGAAAATGTTGTGAGGGAGCTGAAAAGTAGAAAAGGAGGCCAAGAAAAATTAGGTACGAACAAGAAATGAAAAAATGTAAATGAAATTAAAAAACGGGGCCAAGTCACTGTTTGAATTCCATAAAACTAAAGCAAACCTCAAACAAAAAGGTTCTTAACACACAGCTGATCCTCAGCTGCCATAGCTGTCAAGTGCAGAGAAAACATTTGTGTGCAGCAAAGACACATAGAAGCTGTAAAGCCCCCCCAAAAGCAAGAAATCTGCACTTGAAATCATACAGAAAGCGCATGACACGTCACAACTGGAACGTCGTCGTCGGGCAACAATGTGGTCATACTAAGCAGATGGTAGGAGTGAATGTGTGTGAAGCAGGTTCACATGAGCATGCAAAGGGTAAATGATGGTCAAACCGCCTCATGTCAGTCAGCTCATGTGCAGGATGAAGGTGTTATTGGTGCTCCTTGCTGGCTTACCTTGCCTGTCAGCGGGATGCCCCGTGTGGACATAGAGGGTCTGCTGACTCTGTCGGATGGCAGCAGTCAGAGGGAGATCGGCCTGCATCACCCACTCCTGGTTGTTTCCATTGACAACCGCCTCCGTGGGCATGGCCAACGAGTGGCGCTTGGGCACATCCTTGGTCAGGGTGGCTAGCGACTGTTTCGCCTTGAGGAGGCAGACGGAAAGAAGTCATCAGTCAGAGAGCACAGTGAGCCACAATCAAAATTCTTCACTTCAGCAAACTCACTTTTGAGTGGGCTGGTAAATCTCTATTTTTTTCCCCGTGTGTGTGTGTGTACATATACATGTTGTGCTCAGATTTCTACTACAAGTCTCTAAGCGCATGCAGATATGCGAGTTCTCCCCTGGGCTCGTTATGTGGCGCTTGTCTCATTAAAAATGCAGTTATATTCTTGTTCTCCTTTTGTTTGTGAAATCTTTCGCTACCACTCCTGAGAGCTCTGACAGAATATCTGGAGGAGGTGCTGGTTGTTTGTATCCACGGCGGTGTAAGCTGGGGGTGTTGTTGGGGTGCAAAAAAAAAAAAAAAAAATGGAGACATTGAAAACAATTAAGCTTTTCTATAACTTTAATGAACATATTTGCTCTGTCGCTGCTTTTCTGCAGGAGTAACAATGAGCTGTACTGGAGCCTTGGACATTGTGTTTGTGCATGTTTATTTTGTGTCAATAAAACCTTTTTCTTTGTGTTCATGTTTTCTGATTATGCTTGACATGTTTTTTTTATTGCTTATTGTGCGAATCGTATCATCATGCCAAGCGGCGGCGGGCTGCAAATCACCAGCACAATCAACTCCACTGCAATCATCTCCGTCTACCAGCAGTCAAACGGTTATCAATCACAGTCTCTGTCATGCAAAACAGAATACAATCCCAAACCTTCAATGTAATCATTAGTTGTCAGACTACTGATGTTTTTGTTGCCTCCCCCAAGCATTTCAACGTTCAATTAGACCTGAAACACATTCCGATCGATTACAGTGGAAATCTGTGGGACCACCGATGTTAGGATTACTGGGATCAGTCAGGGTGGGCTGAGGGTTAGTTTAAAAAAAAAAACTAAAAAAACTAAAAACACTAAATGAAAAACGTGCATCTGAGGAGCAGGAAGAGGCTTTCCAAAGCAACAAACAGGTCACAAATAGGAGAAAACTCCACAGGGGGCAGGAGTGGAAAGATTTAAATCTTGGGGCCTGTCTTACCGCCATGACCCTAGGAGAGTAGTCCCTGTCCACAAGGCGCTCAAACACCCGGAACTCCATTCTCTGATTGACACAGTTACTCATCTGGTGGGGGGGGGTTGGAGACATGAATGACGGCTATGTTGTACATTCAAAAGGCTTTCCGTGTTTCGATTAGATGCAGTTTAGGCAAAACAGTGCAGAGTGACCAAAGAGATGTACTGTATATCCCTGAACCAGGACTCAAACTATTTGTGCAATATCTTTGTTTCTTTGACTAGTCAGGCTTTTCTCTTTATACACTTTATCGACATTGTTATCTTAGAAGGAAAAAAAAGAACTCTAACATTAGAAATGTTCCTAAATATCTGATTCCAGAAAATGGAGCCTATAAAAAGCCAGTAATGCAGTGCTGACTCACTACCTGCCTGTCAAGTTCCCTCATTTGCCTTTCTCTCTCACCATGGCAAGTTCAGCCTCCAGCTCCTTGATGCGGTTCTCCTTGAGATCAAGCTGGGACCGCAGCATCCCCGTGTGCTCCGTGGCTTCCTTGGTCTGCCGCCGCAGGTCCCACTTTTCTCTCTCCAGGAGGTCTTTCTCTTTGGCCAGCGCCTTTACTGCATCCTCGCTCTCCTAGTAGACACACAGATCCTGATGGATTGGTTCACACATCAAGCACGACTAAACAGAACGATTCAAACAGAAAGGCAGTGGCTCTTTCTGTGCTGCCTTGTTAGGGCTTTCAATATTTCATTTGATTTTTTTTTTTCCCTTGGGTTGCCGGGATTAAAAAAGTGCTTCTACATGTTGGGCTTACTATGACATATTCTTGTGGCACCACATACGCACCAACATCTAAATCTAAATACCACAAAAACATTTTTTTTAAAACTGTAAACATCCTTTTTTGTAACCAACCGTCTTTTTAATTAAGCAGATTAGAGCATGCACTACAAAAAAACCAAACAAACAAGAAAAAGAGGGTCTGTATGGATGCGTGTGCCTCTATACTGTTAGAAAAGGGGTGCCGTACTTTTCTGTGCTGCTCATAGTTGCGTATGAAGTCACGGAGCTGCTCCTCTCGGCTCTCCAATGTGGCATAAAGCTGCTGCATCTGATTCACCAGGTCTGCCTTCTCTGCTTTCAGACGCTTACGGTCCGACTTCATGGCTGGAAGACAGAGTTTGTGGAGGGTCAAATAACTTGAAGATTTACATACTTCTATTTAGTCATAATCTACAGTGTAGATGACTGCACTTCAGTGACAAACAATAGAGTTCAGAGGATTATTACCGTTTTATCTACAGTAAGTTATAAGTGGCTTTATGTCCATGTTCGTGGACCTCCCCCATCCTACCAACGTGCATGTGGTGAAAACTGGAGGTGATCAAGAGCAGACAACATGATAAAGTAGGAGCTGGGGTAAATGTGGGTTGCAAAGACGCTTCCAGATGTGTAGCAAATATAGACAGGCTAAAGCTGTTTAGCATCCGATAATGAGCCTATTATCTGAACTTTCAGCTGATATGGGTGGTGCTGGGATTGCAGACAAGCTTGACTTGAAAGACTTTAAGGTCTAATGCTGTTCTTAATGTTTTGACACAGCCATGAAGAATGTTGCACATTAAGAGGTGGTCTTCATTAAGGAGTCTTCTTTAATCTAACTAACAAATCTTTTCCTGATTTGTTAGTTTGTTCCTGAAGCAAATAACAATAAAAACACCTGCTGTTGCTGCTGACTATACGTTGATAGAGAGGTGGATCAAGCATGAACCCTTATGTCAGTCTGCACTCTGTTGCTGGGTTTGTTAGAGACTGAGTCCCTTTTTTTTCCTCTCCCCCCGTCTCTCTCTGCCACACACTCTTTCTAATCCTCTGGCAGCTCACCCACGCATCATGATAAAGAATATGGTTCACAGTGGTTATTCAGAGAAGCTCTAATTTTCTCAAAGACAAACATTTTTTGCTCTTCTGCATCTGCCTGTTCTCCTGCTTCCTCTTGATCTTTTTTTACCTCCTCGTGCAAGATTGTTTTTCAGAGGCGTTTAAAGTCGAGGTTCCCTCCAGCTATCATTTGAAACTGACAATACATCATTTATTTATATATTATTTATTCATATTGCATCTTTCTACTTTTGTCTTCTTCACATCAAACTGCTTTTCCTAAAAGCACAGTACTTCTCATCACGTGTTCATCTGCCTTTTTCTGCCCTCTTTTTTTCTCCCCTTCAGAACCAGCTGTGTGTCAGTAATGAACTTATATCACGGCTTGGTTAACTGCGTGACAGTCACAAGTTGTGTCTGGCGAACATGCTTGGGCAAGCGGAAATGAAGGACAGATTCAACCTCTGTTTTTTTTTTTTCAACCGCCCTCGTCATCCTTTCATATCTCTCCCTTTCACTTGTTCTTACCAGAGGAATCCCCAAGCCAAAGGGATACGCAGACCACATTAGCTGGCGAATGAAGACAAAAAACATCCCTCACTGACCAAGAGAAACAGGAAACCTTCCAGCACCTGCCTCAGGAAGTGAAATCAAAGCCGTCTTTGAGATGAGCCAAAAACACTTCTGTTGCCTCACATCCTGCACCTGTGATCGTTTGGCAACAGCGACCCTCCTGGTGCTGGATGCAAGAAAGCACTCACTGTGACTCTTTGAACGGGTTCATTCACACTTGCAAATCATATTAGCACTGTTAGTTACTGCTTCTGACCTACCTATGAACATTTTTAAAATACAATTGTGCTCCGGGGGCTCAGACTGTTACGTTACACGCACGAATGTAGGAGAGATGGGGAAGCACTCCTGCTGACAGACATATTAATGACTAACATACTCTGTTGCTCAGTTCAAGCCTCCAAGAATTATTACCAGTTGAAACAACCAGAGAACCACCTGGGAACCATACAGAATTGAAGCTAATGTGTGTGGAGGTGGAGGAGGAGGATGACACGGGAAGGAAGCAGTTTAAGAGACTTTTCATAAAGAAATGATACACATCTGTGCAAGCATCTTTCATATTCACTGACTGCTGCGAATGTACTTGAATAGCACATAATTTGAATCCAATATCACTCAGGAAAAATTAATTCATGGGTTTGAGTTAAAAGTTCAACTTCTACATCGATTTCCCAATACCTTAGTATGCCTACTGTCCATCTACTTGATTTGCAAGGACATGCTAAACCTGTTAACGCATGTTATTCCAGCCCATTTTGCATTCTCAGTCTTCAAGGGCCCCCCATAAATGTTCAGCTGGGTTATGGTTAGGTATCTGTGGACAGAAAGCCAACACTCCCTGGATTTCTCTGGTGATCAAGTAGTCCTTTCAAGGCTTTGAAATGTGTGGTCATTATCCTGCAGTAGTATGAACCCCTGCACACAAAAAGTGCAAGTCAGAGAGCATGTCTCTGAACCTGTCAAAGTGCAGTAGATTCAGTACAGGTGTCTGACTCCAGAGTAACAAAACATTCCCAGACTTAAATATACCCAGCAGTACCTTACATTGTTAGTCTGATGCATTGCATTATCTTCCCTCTTGTGTTTTGCTGCTTTCCTGGGGAAGTGGTTTAGATGCTGCTACAGGCCCACTATGAACACTACTACACAGCCTTCTCTTAGCAATTCAAACCTAAACCTTCAGTCTAGCTATGCTCTCAACACCGACAAAGCAACTTGTTGCCAAGAATAACATTTTTTTTTTTGTATTTAAAAAGGCACCTAAATCCTTCGCACTGAAGAAAGATTTTTTTCTTTGGCCCACACTGCATTTTACAAATGTTTAGCACTTGCTTTGCAAATTGTTTGCCTAAAATCAAAAGAAATGTTTGCCTTTGTGAGAAAACTGTATTTGTGCAAAAAGAAATGTCAGCCTGTATAAGCAGAAAAGAAGCGAATCAGGACATCTGCAAAACATTCCCCTTAAAAAATCCAACCCAATGTGGAAAATCACAAACACCTGATTACAACATCCCTTTCTACATAATATATATATTTTTAAAACTCACGGCACAAAGGCTCTTCTGATACCCGAGTCCTTGCAATTTCAAGTAGTTCAATGTGAACATCTATTACTAGAGTGTGCTAAAAGCTTTTGTCTGCCGGGCTCCTCTATGATGCTACTGAGAGACTTAATGAGTGAGCCAAGTCACTGGTTGCTAGACAGAAACACTGGACTCCTCAGGGAGCTTGTGCCAGTATTAAAAATAGCTAAGAGCAGGTTATTAACCTTATTAGGAGTGCAACCCGTTTTTTAGGATGAAAACATTTGGGGTCTGTTTCTAGCATGTTGACAACAATTCATTCAAATTATCATAATGAGCACTGACTGGCTGTGTAATACATACCCCCCCCTCCCCCCCTCATTCGGATGAACGGAATATTTTGACATTTTCCAAACTATGTATATTTGCTTTCTTGTGGATAGTTAAATAGGAAAAAAATGGATACTTCTTTCACCTGCAAGATTTAAAAAGTAGCCTCTTTGCTTAGCGCTGTGACAAGATAAAGTGGCATTTGTTGGAGCAATCACACAACATACAACAAGTTAATGGGTGAGCTTTATGAATCTTGGGAGGCATAGTTTGAACCTCTTGGTGAAGCCAGGTGAGCTGTTTGTAATTCAAAGCTATATGAATATTACACATTAAGGACGAATATTTTCTTGTTAATTCTAGAAGCAGCAAGACTTTATCACCCTTGATTATAAAAGAGGGGGAAAAAAACAACCTCAGCCATGTTGTTGTTGCTCACACAGTTTGCACCGATTACTGTGGTGTGTTTTTCACATCCCACTCACTGCATCCTTCTGGTTAAATAACATCCCTCATTATCTGCCGTGCCCCATCTATGGTGGCTCACATAACAAGATTTAAGCCAGGATTACAGACAAATAACATTTCCTTTCTATGTGTTGCCAGCTCACCCTTAACAATCACCTTTTCTTCTGAGGAAGACTTCTAAGTGATGGAAGTCTGCAAAAAATACACTGAATCTACAGCACTTTTTAAAAAAATGGATATCAGTAAATTTAAATTGTGATTGTGCTGTGACCTTTAAGCTTAAGTTCCTTGGATAGCATTTTTAGCTAAAACACAAACACGCGCTCCTCTGTAAATGACGATCGCTACATTAACATTAGCCCACGACTGCGTATAACTTCAGCTCTAAAGAGAAGGGACAGGCTTTTAGTCAGCTCTTAACATAATTATTTTGGGAGAGAACAAAAGAGACATCGGCTCATTGGAGGGAGTCCATTGTTCGCGGTTTGGGATTTTAAATCTGCCAGCTGAATAATGATGTAGGAGCCTCAGAGCAGCACAGTGCACTCACCTCCTCAATTCCTCAGTAAAAACAAACTCATGGGGCTGTGTGGCGTTGATATCACTGGCATTATTTAACAATCCTCGCTGTAAAGCAAGGCGTGTTACCGTGGGATCAGACATCTTTGCGGGGAAGACATCTGACCTTTGTAAGGTAGCTAATGAAAACAGATCAGACATACAAGCTATTTAAGCACCAGGGGAGAGAAATCTGTCGTCGGTGGATTCAACATGAAAGCAGTCTAATGTTACTGTGGAAAAAGATTTCAGCATTTAGCAAACATTTCAACACTGACTAACTGTTGATGTGGGATTTTTGCTGTTGTTTGGGGTGAAAAAAAAGTTCCAAATTGGACGTTCAACTGGTTTGAGGTTCTTCTTGAAGGCTGTCTCTTTGCTAGTCTTTCTAGCAAGAGAAGCTTTGTATTCAAGAGTTGCTTTCTAATGTTTACTGATTGGAATAAAATGAAAAAAACATCCTCAGGAGAAAGAATGAGCAAAAAAAATATATACTTCACTGATGACTTAAACTCGTGACCTCAGGGTTTTTTGAGTACATTTCCTTTCATGCTGAGCTAATTGACTTCCCACTCAAGCAACAGTATTCCTGGGTTTATGATGCTGTCGTCACAGACAGAAAGACACAGGCTCTAACAGTTTAACTGTTCCCCATGAAACAAACATGAAAGAATTTAGATATACATACATGATACATACAGGACTGACAGATTGCTAAGATACATCTAAATAACACGATGGGCCTCTATGAACCAAACAAGGTTTCTTACTTAATTGTAAATGTAATAGTTTTAAATGGACTTGTACCTATAGAGCTCTTTTCTACTATAA